AAATCATGCTCAGAATATAATCTTGGGAGAGTTGGCCAAGAGCTGGTGGCCCACTTGCTTGGGTCATCAGCCAATGAATGGTGAGAAATTGCATTTTGCATTGCTTGTTTTGCACATTGTTTTATCCTTATTATTTTCCTTTCCTTTCATGTCCAATTACACTGTTTTTATCTCAACCCCTGAGTTTTACCATTTTTCTGATTCTCTCCCTCATTATACTGAGGGATAGTGAGCGAATGGCTATCTGATATTTAGCTGCCTGCCGAGATAAACAACAGAGATTAAATCACTTGTAACTTCCTGCAAGCACAAGAAAATAAAAGTGAATACAGTCTTCTCATTTAAACCATATTTAGTTATATGAACTAATACATTTTTGAGAGGCAGAAGGGACCATTTTGGTTTACTTTAACCACATGCATACCCTGCCCTTGAACCCCTGGATTAATTCATGCTTTAAGACCAAAAACTGTTTGATCCAGAATATATATATATATATACATAAAATAACCTTACCATAACTGTTCATAATTATTCTTTATTATTGATAAATTATTTTGATATAGAACAACCTGCATATTTTTAAATGATTAACTTGGAATGTGTAAAGAAAATATTTTTATTTTTTTGCTATTTTCATATGATTTGGCCTACCAAATCCATTATGTTGTATTTGTCATGCTTACAAGGCTTATAAGGCTGGTTAAATAAATTCTTGAGGTCGGGTTTTTTGGGATGCACTGAAGGATGAGCTCCTTGGTTAAAAGAAAAGGGTTTTTTTGTTCCATTTTAATCACTGTAATAGAGCTCATTTCTGTGCCATCCTTTTTGAACAAAGGAAATGAGAATGGGATTTAGGAGTAATATAACAACCCTAATCTGACTTAGTATTCCTATTTCTGTCCCCAGAGATATCCCATTAAAATCTGTGACTAGAACACTCTCCTTAGTAATTCATAGTCTGCCGGCTACCCTAGACACCCACAATTATTTTACAGAACAGAATATTTTGTCTTCTAATATGCATGCAATATAATATTTAGACTTGCGAATTTACATTTGTCTGTATTTTATTATAGTATGTGTTTAAAAATTCACTTGATTGCCTCCCTTGCCAGATAAGATATTTTCTTAGACAGTTTTTGTCATTTCTTTTTGTTATTTAGTAGTTCTCCAGTTCTTGTGGCAGTAAAAAATTATCATTACCATTTTGGTTTTTATAATGCTTTCCAGATCATCAATAAAAGTCTTACATAATCTTGAAAGATTACCAGACCCTATAGGACTGTATAACAACCGTACATCCTTAGTGATAATTTTCCCAATTATGCTTAGACTCTGAGATTTTCAGAGAAGCTTCAAGGACCCTCATAGATGTTGTTGCTGCAAGCAGTTTATTTTCTTACCAAAATGTTACATAGTACTGAGTCATGTATTTACAGAACCCTGTAAGTACTTTATTACAACAATGTAACTTCTGTAATGCAAACATTTGCATTCTAAAAGATGAAATTTCACAAAATTTATTAATGATATTTTTTGATATTATAACCTGGTTCAGAATTGCTGTTTGCGTCAAAGAAAGCATTCCACTGAGACATTAGTGAAAATGCTGAGGGGTATTTAGCCAATTGAGCAGTAAAAGATCTAGGGGGAAGGCCAAACTTCCCACAGCTATGTAGGTTAAGCTGAAGACTCCAGAGGACCTTACACCCAAATCATTCACTTGTGCACATGTACCATAGTAGTAGCACACTAATTTTCTCTGACAATAAAATGCCATTGGCAGGGGATGTTTTAGATAACAAAATCTTAGTTCAATAAACTTTCATCAAAATTAAGAGAAAGATCCAGCAAATCTGGAATATTGGTGTGTCTATCGCAATCTTACAATACTGGTGAACTAATCCTTGCCATAATTCAAACTAACATGATTGCCAACAATATTTGCTGTTATTTTAATTGAAATTGGAAAACAATAGTGTATGAGTAAACAAACTCATGGGGTTTTGGGTTGGGGTTTTTTGAGACACAAATTTGGTAGAATGGAAAAAAATTCTGGGACACCTAAAAAGAAAAGTGATTATTTTAGACTGTGACACAATGGGAAGAACATTCATTGTACTTTTTGGGGAGGCACATAGTACATAACTAGTAACCCTCCTTATTCAGTTGGAAGACTCATTAACTGCATACAAAATTCTCCAGTTATAACATGTACTTATTCTCCACTTAAATCATAACTGTATAAAAAGCTCAGCACAACAGAATAATTCTTTTAAATGCCTTTTATCTTTATTTATAATGTGAATCCAATCTAGCTTGAATTATACACATTTAATAAAGAATTTGTATTAGATCCAAGTCTTGCTTAGTAGAGAACCAGCACTGAGATTTCTGAGCTTATATGGAGACAATATTTCTTCTTGTACAATTAAGGAGACTGAAGAGAATAACAAAGTACACATAACAAATGATCTTGTTTATTCTTTAATCTTTACTTTTTCAAGTACAGTAAAAAGTTTGGAAAAAATTGAAGAGCACTTTTTCAATTATAAGTCTACCTTTAAAAGAATATAGTGGGATCACCTGAGTTTTCAAATTTCTAGTTTTAAGTCAATAATGCACAGTAAGACAAAAAGGGAAAAAAAAGAGAGGAAAGAGAAATAATTAAGTTGGGCTAAAATCTAAAGAAGCAGGAAAATATAGGATCTTATCAAGCCAATATATTTTTAAGACTGAGATACAGAGTATAGAGGAGGATGCATGTTCTCAGGCTGAAATAATGTATATATGTGTATATGGTATACTGTGGAAACTGGCAGCAACTTTTGTTTGAAATACTGGCTTACTGAAGTACCTGCCCACCTTTATGCCACAGAGCTCAGGGACAAAGAGTACCTTATCATACAACTTGCTTCGGAAATGTGTCATGATTTGAATAGGGGCAAAAAGTAAGAAAAGTGTGCTGTTTAACTGAATGAGGTTCATTAAACTGTCTGTGTTTTGTTTCCATAAATACTATTTTGGCAGAAGTATGGCATGGATTACACAATGAGCAGGGAACAGGGCAGCAATACAAAGGAACATCTTTTCCTCTTAGCTAGGTAGTTTGTCTTTCAGGTAACATATAAATGCCTAGTAAAACCTTTGAATTAAAAGTGCTGTATAAATTGGTCCTGCTGATTCAATGGTGAATGGTTTTCTACTGCTCTTACGCAGTCTGGCAAGTGGTTTTTATAAAACTATTGAGATTTATATGAGTTGTAGGAGTCATTAGAATATTTTTTGTTGGGCACTATACAGCACTTAACAGAACAACTAGTCTGGGAAGCAACTCCTTAATCTGTAAATAAACTCAGTATATTGGTTGAAAATATGAACCCAGTATATTGTTAAACAACAAAGCAACCACACTTTTGAAGGTATAAAACAGCTGAGTCTGTTTCAGACTAATTAGTAGTTACTTTCAAGAGAAAGAACTATCTCATTATTAAATTAAAGAATCTGCGCCAGTGAAATTTAAGCCAGTGTAAAGAAAGCTTGCCAGATTGAAGCAATTGTAATGTACAAGCCTCCACAAACTGATATTTTGGATGAGATAAAGTTATAAGAATCCTTAACATTTGTGAGAACCTGTTTCTTTAGAGATTATGATGTCTATGTGTATCTGACATATAAACTGAACTGAATATCGATGAATATCGAAGAGGGCATATTGGGTATGTTTGTATGCATGACAGTCCTACCACCTAGTATTTAAAAACTGGATGACAGCAGCTGTACATTTGATTAATGAGAGACATTAACATTATTTAGGTGATTACCCAGCACTGCCCAAAGAATGGAGAAATGTGTTAAACTTTGAGATCTCTAACAGTTGTCTTATAGACCATGCTGGCATCGTTGGCCATTTCTATGGTGATAAATAAAGAGGATCCAGAGAACAAGTACTGGACTCGAATCACCTACACTGCTTAGGCCAGTATCACCTATCCCTTTGCTTTATTTTAAGTCAACTTTATTAATTCTGCTGAAACAATGCCTGGATGTAATTTGGAAATAGTTCTCTCCATGCTAGCCCTGCCTCTGACTGTGCTAGCTTGGTCTACTGCTGCTTGGTCACGCATTTCATATTGTCCCAACACATTTTTTTTCCTTCAGCTTCCACCAGATGTCAATATGACACACCCAGAGCACACAAATATGTTTTGGATTCACCAATACAGAGCTGCAGCAGAGCTCTTATACTATTTCAGACATTTCAAACTGAAAAATTCACACAAAATAATAAATGTACCCTAAGTCTCGGTAGACACCACATGGGTCTTTAAAATGTCTAGGTCCATCTGCTTTGTAGCACAGATGCTCTCTGTCTGCTTTAAGTGTACCTATAAGAAAGATGGTCACAAACTTTGTAGCGGGGCCTGTTGTGATAGAACAATTTTAAGCTGAAGGAGGATTGATTTAGACCAGACATAAGGAAGAAGATTTTTATAATGAGGATGGTGAGGCACTAGAGCAGGTTGCCCAGGTAGGTGATAGATGCCCCATCCCTGGAAATAGTCAAGGTCAGGTTGGACAGGGCTCTGAGCAACCTGATCTAGTTGAAGATGTCCTTTTTCATTTCAGGGGAAGTTGGACTAGATGGCCTTTAGATGTCTCTTCTAGCTATTCTATGATTCTGTGTACCTATTCATTCCACTTGCCCTCTGGACCAGAAATTGGTGCCTGATTTTCTTTTATACTAATAAAGACACAGTCAATTTATATTTTTTAAATTAAAAATAAAATATATATCTCCAGATACCACTCTTCTAAATCTGTCTGTAAGCCACAGTAAAAAAACATGAAAAAAATAAATCAGAATTCTCATTCTGTTGACCCTGGAATTTCCTTTTCAAATCAGGTAATTACTAGAGAGACATATACGAAATTTTGCGTACTTACTGAAGCTCTCCACATGTACTGCTAACTTGCATCTTGTATCTTGTCTTCAGCTGTTGCAGGGCAAATCATTTCCAAAATATGATAAATGGGATCTCCATCAAACAGGCAGCGGTGGAGGTGTAGATGAACAAATAAGTGGTGATTGTGATGATGAAGATGGCTGCGGAGGATCTGGAAGTGGAGAATTCAAAAGAGTCCTGAAAATCACAGACTGTAAGTGCATGATTCTCTTTCATTCGTGCATTTAAATAGTAAATTAGCATATTTTCCACTAATACATGCCACTGAATTATCTTGGAAAAGATGTGGAAATGTTGTCTGCATAATGTTTCCAAGATTTACAGGAACAGGCCTGCACTGGTAGGATTCCTGTGAGCACGGTATCAATATGAGTATCACTTTCATTGTAACTCATGTTAAAACATACTTGGCATAATATAGACTGGACTCAACATAGTATTTTAGTCAAATAATAGGTGTTACAGTGACATGACCCTTTGAGTTACTACTTGTAAAATATAAGAGATTTGGCAGTTAAAAAGAGAAATTGTACTAATTTTTGATGGAAATGTGGCAAAACATGATGTTTAGTGATGGTAGCTGCATTTCATAGAGAACCATTGGAAACAATGTACTAAAGAACTCAACAATAATGCCAGTATTGCTTCTTACACATTTTTCTGTTTTCCTTACTGTTTTGTTTTGGTGTGTTTTGGTTTTTTTTTTTGTTTTTGTTTGTTTTTGTTTTGGGTTTTGTTTTTTTTTGTTGTTTTTTTTTTTTTTTGGTTTTTTTTTTTGGTTTTTTTTTGTTTGTTGTTTGGTTTTTTTTTAATTTTGTTTTTGTTTTTTTTTCTCTGAAACACATTTGTAACAATTTTCTTTAAAAAGTTCATTTGATTGTGCACTTCAGTGGCATGGAACTCCAATCATGAGCAAACAAGTGAGTGAACTACTTCTGCGAATCAGGGTGTTTTTCTACATCTCTTATTTTTCTTCCCAGTGTAGAAATATAGGAAGAGAAGGTGAGAATAGATGCAATTATCATTAAATTGCATTTCTGCATTTTGGTTTTTTTTTCTGCATTTTGCATTGCAAAATTCAATACTAACAGGTAAGAAGTCAAGGTTGGTATAAGTGCCTGAATTTATCTATACTTACTGAATTTGAGAATGCTGCATGTTTTCAGGCTTGGATGAGACCCCGGGTCCTTCTTGACTTGATAGTGAAGAGGCAATTTAAAAATGTGGCTGTAGAGAAGCTGTAGTGTATGGTTGCCTAATTCTGTTTGAACAGCAGAAAAAATGAGACTGAGCATTCTAGGCTATGCCTTAACAAGACAGTTTGGAATCAGCCTCTGATCTTCTTGAATGAATACTTAGTCTATACATTTTCAAGTCCTACTAGAGGCTCTCCAGATGGGATTTTGAGACATCTCCAAAAGAGTTTGGACACTTACTTCCTGAGAGTGCCCTTGAAGATTTTACTTTGAAAAAGAAGATAGGGATCAAATATTTAAAACCAGATGTTCTTTGGAATGCTGAGAATATTATATCTATTTGATAATGACACTCTATGGTATTGAAAGACTGTAAAATAGTCTTAGAATATGACTAGAGCTATTAAGAAAGTATTAAATGACGAAAGAACTGCAAGAACAGTATATTTCATTTCAGCCTCTTCTACTGCATTAGAATTTTCTTTATATTGATATATTTAGTGTAATCTTTTCAAAATGTCAGAATTATAATTAGCCTTCATATTCTCTTTATACTACATGTCTTATAAATTTCCAGAATTATAAGCTATGTGTTAGGCATAGTGAAGCTTGCATGTAATGGTGTTTCATTTGAACATTTTCTAAGAAATAGAACAAAAATATGAATCCACACTGTTCAATATTTTGACTTTTGTATAAATCTTGAGTTACTATTACCTTCCAGCTGTTGTGATTTTGTGGATTTATGCTGGCATATATTTATTATTTGGAATTCACCTTAAAATTGTCTTGAATGTATACCAGAAAGAGTCCTACTTTGTTCTGGGATATCAGATGTGGACTGTCCAAGAGAACTGTTAAAACATTCCATTTAGTAAGAATTTTGTTACAGTATAGACCAAGAAAATTATTTTTTTTTTCAGAAATCACCGAAGTGTATGTTTAAGATAAATTAAACAGCTGCTTGAAACATTCTTCTTTTGCATCACTCAGTCCTACTCATATGAGTAGGACCTTGGGAATTTAAAGTTAAATTGAAAGTGAAAAAAAGTAAAATAAATATATTTTAGTAAGCAGACAAAATTACCTTCTCAAGATTTATGATTTTATGTGACAAATTAGAATTAAAAAATATAATCAGAATTTAAGCTGATATTTTTAATGTATGTTATATATTTATGCAATTTATATATAATTTTATGTAATTTTCTTAGCTTCAGGTGACTGTTATCAACTTCAAGCTAAGTCAGACTCTAAACTCCTTTTTTTAAACTGCAAAGTTAGTTCACTCTGGTGATATTGCTTAGTACTCTTTGAAAAGTATGTCTGAACTTCAGATAAACCACAGGTTGATCACAGTTGTTGGATCCTCAGCATTAGCTTCTCTATGGAGACATACAGATAGTATTATTTTTCCTTATCAAGAAAACTTTTTGCATATTTTACTTCTGGACAACTTTGCCTTCTCTCATAACCAGCCAGGAAAGAAAGGAGGATTTCTACCTATTTTTACTATAATAGAGTCTGAAGGTCCTAGGCAAAGCCCAGGTTTTTTTTTTCTTAGCTACTGCAGACATTTTCACCAAGGAGATGATCCAGTTCACAACAAATTAATGATCTTAATAAGCTTTTTCAGTGCACTGCTATATATAAAAGTAAAATTTAAAGAGACACCTGCCTTCTTTTTTTGATGCCATGTCATTACCTTTTGAACACATGTATGATACTCAGACTTGGAAGGAACAGAGAGGAAGGGAGGGGATCTATTTCTGCCGACATAAAATTATACCAATTTTATGTGTGAAGCAAAAGATTAATTATTTCCACACTCAGTGCTAGAGATGTAAGAATTGATTTCATTTAGTGCTGGAGACTGACAAATGTGTGGTGATAACTTTTAGGTTTCAGGAGGCCAATGAAGAGATTTGATATTTGTGAGTCAGAAGTGATAGCCCTAACATTACACTAGTGCTTAACTATATTTTGGAAAAAATCTGGTTTTCATACCAGTTAATCACTACATTACATTCAATGTTTCAAAGTGCTACAATTGTGCTGACTGGTTTGCTCTTTCATAAGTACTTTTAAAATACAGTAAATTGGTTATTTGAAAATAGTTATTTGAAAAAATGGTACTAGAAAGGATAGTGTACTTTAAATGCATAAAATAAACAGCAGTATAAAGTCTTGACACTTCATTTGCTAGTTTTATTCTACTCTAACCCAGGAGCTCCCACAGGACTCTTTCATGCGTCACAATGAATTACCTTTTCAAAACCTCCTGCAGAATGCAGCAGTAATAACAACAAATACTTATCAGCTATGTATTGATTTGAATCTGTTTTCATATAGTTCTGTGAGGATGGGCTAACCCTGGTATCACTCCTCTGAGGTTCTCAGTGCCATCTATCAAAATTCTCATAAGATTTTTAGCAAGATCACCAATTTTCAAAGTGCTCTATCACTGATTTGTCTTTCTTTGCTAATTTTAAATTGCCACACAGGTGTTTCTTTACTACAGACAGAGATCTCCTAGTTCAGGGCTCAAATATGTAGAAATATTAAGGGTGTGCTTGTGATTAAGGTATATAGAGATGAACCTTTCTTGATTTTTATCTCATCTGATATTCATCCTGTCTGAAGACAGAAGTCTCCAAAATGCTTTATTTCTCAAACTACTTAATCTGTAGATTATAATTTTCTTCTTTGGAATATGCAATAGAGATAAAACAGCTTGGAATATGCTTTATGTTGTGATCTCCATATAAATAAATCAGTCTGTGTCTCTAATCTGACATTATACTGCATTCTCAAGTCTCAAACATCCTTCCTCCTCTTTCTGCTCCTTCACCCACTTCAGTATAGTTGGTTTTTTCACTTTTAAATCTGATTCTGATGGCATATTCTGTGACCAAAACTACTTGAAGCTGGCAATAAAATCTCCATTATGATGTTTGCCATCTGTTATATTGTTTTAAACTCTCATCTGCATTCCGTTCTACCTCAGTAAAGACAGGCATCCCTTATGTCTGAGTAGGATTTTAGGTTTTACTTACACACAAGAGTATTCTTCCTAATCTCCAAATGTTAATGTGAGGTGTTCTTATTCAGGTGTCTTTTGAAGGGCTACATGACTTCACTGTTTACAGTTCACTCAGTTCAGAACATCTTAATTCTATGAAAAACAAATAAGAAAAATAAAAGTTCTTTCTGTGAACACCAACCTTGATCTAAATATGGCACTAACTTCTAATATTTGCATTTATACTCAGATTTTATGCTGTATTTGTGGGATGGATATGATTAAACATCTCTTGTTTAGCTAGAAGAACTGGAATTTAATTATGGTACTTGATATATTTCAATAGAATTGAATGTAGACTTCTTTTTAGTCTTACAAATCTATCCAGAAACAGTCTGTGTGTATTCCCCATTTGAAAATTCTATCTACAGCTAGTGGTTTGTCTTTGAGACATGTCTTTGAGACTCCTCCTTATGAAGGAGATATGGGAAATGAGGGAACTCACAGAACAATCCACCCCATTTTGAAATAGGGAATATAGCCTTACCCTGTTGTAGGGCAAACACTTTCACACAGAAGGTGTTTTTACCCTCCACCTTTCTTAAGAGTACCATTCAGAATTAATTTTATAGTCCACATTAGGAAAATTGATGTATTATTCACTGTCAGGTCTATTTGAGCAAGGACTGTATCTGTACTTGACTTTCTGGACCTGTGTACTTGCTTCTATGCTTTTTGGCTTAAAATTAGGTGAAACAAGGAAATGATATATTACTTTTCCATTCAGTATGTAACTTCTTGACTGAAACAGCTTAAAAGTGTCTACATATCTGGAAGACCAATCACAAGAAATTGGGTTTTTTCCCCCTCTCTCTAGGAAACAGCTTGGAGGGTGACCATGTTGGTGAAAAGTTAGAAGGAAATACATGAATCCATGGAGAGAAGTAAGCTTTCCTGCCTGCCCTCAGTGATCTA